CACGACTATATTTTAGGCTTTGGTTGTTAGCCTTAGCCTTTAACGGCTGCGCTATCCCTCCAGCCCTCACTACTATATTTTAAAATGCTGTCCTTCAAATCAGTAATAAGGAGCTATCAGTATGATGACCACATAGCTTATTCAAACTAGACACTTTGAAAACGAAAAAAAGCATTATTGGTAATTGGGTCAGGGAAACAAGGCTAGAAATGGTCACTCTCTCTGTGAAGAGCTTACTGTGACTTACCATGTGCCAGTCTCTGTGCTGGAACACCGAGTTTTGACTGGAGATATAAAAAGGTCCTTGTCACTCAATGAGGTTGTGAGATAAGTCCACACTATGTGATTAGTGATGTGGAGAGAGAAACAGAGACAAGACAGGCAGCCTTTGTCTTCACCGGCTGTTTAATAAGAAAGATCTTTTTTAATTAAATCAATACCAGCAGCAGCACATTTTCAGATCCGGCACATCTAGCCAATCTTTTCTGCCTTTCTCAACTTACCTTGTTTAATTAGCACACCACTTATTGATAAGCATGATTTCTCCTTCTTTTAAATTGTTTTCATATTGTTGTTATAGTTTCCTAAGATTGTCATAAATTATTTCAAACTTGGTGGTTGAAAATAGCATAAATGGGACAGTGAGACAGCTCAGCAGGGACAGTGCTTGTTACACAAACTGGGAGATGTGAGTTCAATTGCTGGAACCCATGTGCAAGTGGAAAGAACCGACTTGACAGAGTTGTTCTCTGACCTCCACACACATGTGGAACAGTGTGCTCCCAAACACACATTGTGTACACACACACATATTAAAAAAGGAACAACGTCTTCTCTTGAAGTTCTGGAAGCTGAGAGGAAAGCTTGTCCCATGCCTCTCCATACTGCCTAGAGGCTGCAACATTTTTGTGAGTTCTTTTTTAAAAACTATTTTTTATTATTTTTATTTTATGTGTATGAATGTATTGCCTGCATGTGTGTAAGTGCACCCATGTCGTGCAACACCTGCGGAGGTCAGAAGAAGGTGTTGGATCCCCTGGAACTGGAGCTACGGATGGTTGTTAGCTGCCACGTGGGTGCTGGGAACCGAACCCAGGTCTTCTGCACGAACAGCCAGTGCTCTTAACCGCTGAGCCATCTCTCCAGCCCCATTTCTGTGTATTCTTTTCCTTGTGGCAACATAATGCCAGTTTCTGCCACCATTTTCACCTCACCTTCTTTCCGTGTGTCTCTCTGTTCTGCCCCCTCTCCTTATAAGGACATCAGTCTTTGGATGCAGGGCCTACCAAAATCAAGATGATTTCATCTAGAGAGCCTCAACTAAATACATTGACAAAGACCTCATTTACAAAAAACCAACATGTAACCTGGAAGCTCCTCTGACCATTATGACAGCAAGCTGTAGTCCCACCTTCTTCCCATGCTCTGTGGAAGGCGGCTGCATGACAGGGGAGGGGCTAAGGACATATAAGCTGAGAAAGCCACAAGGCAGTTCTCACCATTTTGGGTGGCTGTTCAGAAGTCACAGGATTTATATTTAGGGTGTGGACTTGCCAGCATAGCCATGAATGTGGGGGGTGCCCACTCTTCTGTGAGTAAACCAGCACCCCAAACTCAGTTAGCAAGTCCAATAAACTCAGGATTTTTCAAACGACAGTTTTGAAGAATTCTTGCCTTGGGTTGTTCTAAGGACAGTGGGAGAAGGGAACTAGATGCCACGTTCCCCTTCCAGAAGTGAATTTGACTTTATACAATATGTTGGGGTATGAGATGAATGTGACTTTTAGGGGACAGTATTCACTCCACTCCAATTACCTGAAAATCAGATAAAAAGATAAAAACGAAGCAGGCTTCCTGAGTGAGATTGGAATTGATTGGCACTTTGTCCTAGATGAGATAATCAAGTGTATCTGCCGTGAAAGTGCTTTGAAATGTATTGAATTAGAAAACACTGACCAGCAAGCATGAGGAAAAGTTTAGTAATCTAGGACTTCACTTAGCGTTGGCTAAATGCACACTCTTTTTCTAATGCATTTGGCAGCCTGAGAGTCTTACTTGTGTGTACTGTGTGCGCACATGGACTCCAAACAATGCACTTAGCAACCAACTAAGGCGTAGGATCCCCACCTGTGTCAAGCTGCACATAAACCCCCTCTCCGAACAATGGAGTGAGTTTCTCTTTCCCTTAATAACCATCAAACTTAGATTCTATTCAGTTATAATTTCCTTTTGTCTGGGTACAAGACCAGAAGGCTTATCCAGGCTGAACTGACTTTAGGTGCATGTCTAATAAGACAAAACTGTCCTCAAGTGATTTTTTTTTTAAAGACATGGTCTTACTATGTAGCCCTGGCTGGCCTGGAACTCAATTGCAGACCAGGTTGTCTGGAACTCATAGAGGCTGCCTGCCTCTGCCTCCTGAGTGCTGGGATTAAAGGTGTGTGCCACCAAGCCTGGCCTCGAAAGTGAACTTTTAGGAAGAATCCCCAATTTACCATCTTATGCTTGTGCAAAACTAGACATGCATGTGATAATAATCCTATGAATTAAGGGAAGGGACGTGTACAATAGAAAAATGATAAGACCTAATCTACCAATCAAAATAGAAAACCACCTAAACTATGCCCTTAATAACCAAACTCTTCCTCTTGAACCCTATAAAAGGGAGCCCCAAACAATAATCTAGGTCCTTGGGTACCTTTACTTATCTGGCCTGCTGCTTTCTTGCGGTGTATTCTGACTTGTTTTATCACTTTGCTTTAAATAAAGTTTTCCTGCTATTTTGCAATCTGTGTGAGCTTTTATTTCATTCTTGAATCAAAGGCCAAGAACCTGGAAATACCCAACCCAGATTCCAAACACCAGTAACACAAATTGATGGGTCAGAGGAGACAGCCATAGGTGGTGACTTTGGAGGAGGAATATTACTTATCAGACCATCTATCTTGACTGCTAGACAGGTTTTTAAATTTTATTCATGTTTATATTGTGTGTATGAGTATTTTACCCACATGTATGTAAGTGTACCATATATGAGCAATGCCCGCAGAGGCCAGAAGGTGTGGAATCCCTTGGAATGAAGAGTTATGAAAGATTGTTAGCCACCAGATGGGTGCTGGGAGCCGAACTTGAATCCTCTGCAACAGCAGTCTTTGCTTTTAACCACCAAGCCATTCCTCCAGCCCATGGACAATTTAATGTACAACTATAAATAACTGATAATGTCTCCACAGAATAGTTCTAAATGCTTACTCAACTTTTAATCACATTAGACACTTTAGTCCATTTGTGTCAATACCTCAAACCAGATAAATTGCAGAAATTAGCTGGAGATGTGCTTGTCTAGCTTGTGTGAGGTCCTAGGTTTGATTCCCAGGATAGAAAAACAAAATAAAGCAAAACATACCAGAAATGTATCTCTCATAGTTCTAGAGGTTAAATCCAAGCTCAAGCTCAAGCAAATCTTCTGGATGATGAACGCCTAGCCTCTGCTTCTGGGAGGGTGGGTGGCTTCAATACTGCATGCTCTGGAAGGGAAAAAAGTTACTCTACAAAGGGCAGAACTGCAGAACAGAATCTGTTCCTACTAGTCTTTTTTTCAGCAGCATTATCCATTCGTGGGGGCAAAGCCCTCCCAATCTCAACTCCCAGGATCAATGTTCAGGGAATTAAACTTCGAACAAGCTGAAATCGTCACAAACCCTCAAATCATATGGTTAGATTTCTTCTATGACTGCTAACTTCAATGACTTTCTAAGCATTTCACTGTGTCAGCCTCAAATCATTTCTATTGCAAATAATTTAGAGTTTTGTGGTATGATTGATTGGGGCTTGAGACAGGAGTATCACATTCTAATTTCAATAATATTCTTTAAGAATATAACTGCTAGTGGCTCGGATCTCAGCAGACCACCAGAGAGTGCAGAGCAGACCCCACCAGGGTCTCAGACCAGCAACACCTGCAAGGCGGGCAGCAGCATCTCCAGCCAGGGCAAACCGCCAACAGTG